CTTCCCAGCGTGGTGCGAAATTAAAAATAGACTGAAAAAAAACAATAATGGGTCACAAGTTCCGCTCACAGTTAATATTCTTTGGTTTAAAAATAAATAAAAAGTTCTCTGTATAGAGTTTAGCTGCTGTTATATGCTAATACATAAGGCGGACTCATTGTATGTTATTAGGATGCTAAATTTAACGCAAACATGAGTTTAATTTTCCATAACAATTCTCTTCCAAATAGATCTTGAAGAACACTGTCTCCACCTGTATTTGATAGCAGGAGTAAAAGATGTTGGTGTCTATTATACGAATAATAACTTCTGATTATTTGTCCATGACAAGTCTCTGGAAAGTTATATGAGTAAAACTACTCTTATTACAAAATAAAAGCTTGGTTTTGGATTCACAATGATATTTCAAGACAGAGCCGTTATGATGAAATCATTGCAAACGTAGGACATCGAAAACGTTCATTACAACTTGCGTTGAGGCCGAGACCACTTAGTAAAGATCATTAACGCGGCACACTTTTTCCAGAAGAAGGAAGTTGAGTTTCAACGAAATTATATTTTTAGAACAGGAAGTGTGTCTCCACCGTCATTAAAGAGACTGACAAGAGGCGTCATGATGGCTCTCCGATATACACCTACATAGAGAAGAATTCAACAGCTGCCTCAGGATTACGATCTTTCTTCAGTTGTTCCATGTACGATTCTTGACAGTTTATCACTGTAATAAAAAAAAAATTGCTAAAGCAGATAAAAAAAGGAAACTTGGTTTTGGATTCTTGGCTGGTCTCTCTCCATTCTGACCATAAGTGGAAATGGATCTATTATCTTCCTTGTTTGCAGCAGACGGCGGCTCCGAACCAAAACCAACGCGTTCATCGTTTCTCTTGCAGTGGTGGATTTCTTTGTTGGATTGAGCACTGTACCTTCATTGATCTTCTGCCAGGAAGAAGGCGATTATAACGGGTTATCGAACGACTTGAGGAACTTATTCCCATTCGCCTCAGTAGTAAACCTGTGTACTTTAGTCCTGGAGCTGTATGTCGCCGTTGTAATGCCTTTCAAATATTTGACTTTTATGAAGCGTCGCCGCGTTTTCCTGGTGATTTTCACCTCTTGGGCGATTCCAGTTATTACTGCTTTGGCTTTTTTCAAAATGGATCAGCTCTGTCCAAGCCAATGTTCACTATATGACATAATCATTTCGATGAACATAATTTTTTTGGCTTTTTTGCCATGCTGTGGTCTGATCTTTTGCTTCGCTTTAATGTTACTTGTTGTTAACAAGCACAAGCGGGCAGCTCGTGTCTTAACAAAGCAGCTCCACTTTAATCATCGATTTCTGTTCAAGATCCAGGAGAAATCTGCAGTTAAAATGATGGCCATTATTATAGGAGTTTTCCTTCTGGCGAACACATTTGCTTTACGATGTGGTTATATATTATTTTTTAGAACGGGAAAAACATGTGATGATGAAGAATATAAAATACCCCTTCTTGTTTAAAACTCTGCTATTAACCCCATTGCGTACGCCTTCTTCAAGCGGGATATTAAGAAGGAGATGACAAAATGTATTTTCTGCGTCATCTAGAAAAAGTAATGCAACTTTTTCAGCTAATCCAAGAAATCCGCAAAATTTGTTTTTAAAGCTTTCATTACTGGTTTGTCAATAGGCGTTGATAATCGTGGAAGAAAACAAAATTGTATTCCAAGATCACTTCTAAAATGAGGCTGCCTTTTGTTCTCCAATTTGTTGTTAAACACCTCAGTGATCTTTTCCATCTCTAACTGTTTCCCTTTCCTTTCTAGTGTACCTCATTCGAGTTTGTTTAACAGTTATATTTAGTTGCGTGTGTATCTTAAGGTACCCTTTAAAATTCTTTACCGCACAAGTGTGTGTTGCGAAGAGTTTGCAACTTCAACGCGTTTAGTTTAACGACAGGCAAAATTGTGCTCCTATTGGGTTTTCTCTTGCGTCGTCTTCCTCTAAAGAAAAGAGATGTTATTCACGCGACACTATGACGAAAGGCTTCAGTATATTTTAGTCCGCTGTCGTCATTGATCCTAAAGTTACGACGAACCTTGCAAATCATGCCTTAAGCATATAACAACTATTAATTGAGCCGTGAAAAATTTTGCTGCCTGAGTGACAAGTGCATAAAGCCCTGGTCAAACGCAATATCATGCAACTTTGTTGCGCGTAACGTGTTGCACAAGTTTGGCCACCCCGTAGCAACATGTTGCAACAAGTTGAATCAAGTTTGAAAATAGTCAAATTTTTGTATGTTGCAAGATGTTCCGCGCGTTTGGCCAGCTCCTACACAACATCTCTCAACTAGATTTAACAATGTTGCAAGATGTTGCGTTGAAATGTTGCGTGAGTTTTGCTGGCTTAACTCTTCCTGCTACTTTTAGCTTTAAATTTGTTATTTTTCAGGTACCTGAAGAGAAGCTGTTTCAAATTCTCTTTGAACTTCACCTTTACACCCACAGCTTCACTTTTTTTGCCATTCCCCAATAACTGATGGTTTATTCAGCCTTGCACCTTTGAAATTATTCACGTGTTAAATGAGTAGAGCTCATGAATGAGTAGAAATCATCAGTAAATGATTATATCATTAGCCCAAGCTGGCATCAATAAAAAATTTCGAAGGTGTTGTTTTGCATATAATAAAGTGGGAGGAAAAAAACAGGAACAACAGGGATTAAAAAAAATATTAAGTTTATTACGCGTTTATCCACTTAATTTTCATTTGATACAAGTCGGTCATTCTTCAATCGATCAAGTCCTTTTTCTCAAAACGATAATTGTTAAGCTATAAAGCTTGTGGGGTCGCCAAGTCTTACATCAATTTTTCCTCACAGTTTGTCGACAGTTTACCTAGCCGTGTACAATCAAACTTTGTTTAAAAAATGGATACCTGGTTCTGGATTCTTGGCCGGTCTCTTACGATTGTGACCGTAACTGGAAATGGATTTATCATTTTCCTTGTTTGCAGAACTCGGCGGCTTCGGACCAACCAACGCATTTTTCGTTTCACTTGCTGTGGCAAATTTCTGTGTTGGGCTGAGTGCTGTTCCCTCACTTTTTGTCTGCGAGAAGACAACTGATGCGATCCTGAAGCCCCTTTTGCTCACACGGTGGATTATCTTAGGTGGCTGTTTACGTACGCGTCTGTAACAAACTTATGTAGTTTAGTCCTGGATCGCTACATTGCTGTTGTGAATCCTCTCAAATACTTATTGTTCATGACGTGCAAACGTGTTTCTCAGTTGATTTTTCTTTCTTGGATACTGTCAGTTCTTGTTGTTTGTCTCGATGTTCTTGTGTGGCTCGTTTTTAACGACAGTATTTCTGTTTTCTTAATTAATACTTGGATATTAATGATTTTAGAGATCCTGTCGTGCTGCAGTCTCATTTTTTACTTTGGTTCAATGTTACATGTTGTTTATAAACACGAACGAGCCGCCCGTAGCTTAGCGAAACAACTCCGCTTCAATCATCGATATTTGCTCAAAAACGAGAAGTCCGCTGTGAAATTGATGGTCATTGTTATTGGCCTGTTTCTTGTTTGTTCTGCATTCTCTCTGCGATGTAGTCTTGTATATATAATGAAAGACGAACAACCATGTAATGATAAAAGATTCAAATTGCCTCTGTTAGTTTTAAACTCTGCCATCAACCCAGTTGCTTACGCTTTCTTCAAGAGGGACATAAAAGAGGAAGTAGAACGATGCATTTGCTGTGTGATCTGAAAGAAGAGAAACAACATTGAACCACTTAATGGCTCAAGACTTTTTCCAAATTAATAGTTTTGATCATAATGTCAGAAACGCATCTCGTTTAATACAAAGTAATGCTGATCAACCATAACAAGATTCACTCTGTAGAGTTTATAATTGTGCAAATCAAACAGATATGCACTATTCCGAGCTGAAGTGAAAATTAGATATTGTTTTGACTTCAACTGGGATCAGCTGGTTTTCTAAACGAAACTGCCCCTGGTGAACAAGAAAATTTTGAATTTGCTTGGCGATCTCTGTAAGAGCGGTCAAGGGCATTTCGCATCGGAACAAAGTTTTCCCTCAAACATTGCCCAATAATCTATCTTTGGCGGCAAGTAAATAGAACCACATTAGTTTCTGACCATCACGAAAAGGCTGGTTTAAATTAAACGCATGAAACAGATTTTTTTCCCAATTCATAACTTTCTATTTGGATCGATCATAACGCAGTACAAGCATTCCCTATAATATAAATTAATGTTTATAAGCAGTAGACAAGTTGTATAGTTTTAGGATTCAAATTATTGGGTAAAGCTCAAAATGAAATGTTATACTCGTGTTTATTTAAATAACGTTGTGCCGCTGAGAAAAAATGCAAATGAATAAGTTCTAGTGTCGATGTCAATTGAGATCAGGTTGTTTTGAAAAACGAGTAATTCTACTTTGTCGGAAAAGCTAACTTTAATGAGCTTTTAAATTTTCTTAAGGAACAAGACTGAGCAAGAACATA